TTAAGGGAAAGAGTTCAGTTCAGGTCTCAGGAGCAGCTGAAGGGAAATATACCATATTTCTACCTTGTTAAAATAAAATAAAAATCAGGTTGTTTCACTGAGAAAGGTATTGTACTTTGGGGTGTGAAGGTGAGACCACTAACAGATTTTGTAACCGTACCCTGCATTTAAGAACAAACAAAATGCTGAAATTCCTGTCACAGAGACCTAAACCCAGTGTGCAGGACATCTCTTCTGCTGATGGCACAGACCTGTCTGAGAGATGCAGAAACACACACAAGTGTTTCATTTCCTCTTTCATTCTCTCTAATCTCTTCTGTTCACACTTCAGTGGAGTAGATCTGTACAGGTACCACCTTGGGTATGCAGCAGGTGAAGCTGGGTTTGCACAAGAACCTTCATAGGAGTTTTAAGAGAAACTTGGAGCCACGAGCACATTTGTAGCTGTGTTATTTTAGAAAACTGGGTAAGCTCCGATGCTCAAAATGTAATAGGTAACAACCAGCTGAAATCAGTATTAACATGTTCTACTCCTGGTAGTATCTAGATCTCCACTGACTATAACGGGACCAAAGACGCATCATTCACAGGGTGGACACCAACATTTAGCCTTAGTCTCTCTATCACAGCTTCCTGGATAAGTTTTATTTCCCGCTTTATAAAAACTTGTAGCTTTAGGTATCTAACACTTCAAGAAATAACGTATGACATCCACAGCTAAAATATTTTCTCAGCCTTGGAAGTTACTTCAGAAAACTCGTGTTTGCACTTGCAGGGCTGCAATGCCGAGTGTCGCACAAAGACGCTGTGGATCACTGGCTGTCCTTCCCAGTCCCCTTTCAAGTTATTTGACAACATTCTCTGCATTTTTCAAGAAGTACACCCTGATGGTATTGCGAAAGCAGTGCCATATACATTACATTTTCACAGATAAGTGACTGGAAATACTAGGGATATTTGAGTGCTGTTCAACTCAGTCTGCAGATCTATTTTAGAAATTTGTGATGCATTCGGCATCATAAACTCTCCATAATCTAAACTTCCAATTTGAAAAACTTTTAACCCTCCTGTAAGTTTTCTCCCTAAAGACAATTTTCTAACTAAGAGTGAACTGAATTTGTATTCCTAGAGCCACAGAAAAGCTTAACCTCTCCTCTGCACGCTCTTGCCTAAACTCTGTGAGTTCCCATCCAGTGAGGGAATTACTTCTTGAGGCACCTTTTCCCTTTACAAAGTCTTACAATGGGTTAGAAAAGAGGAGGAACAGTTTCCCCAGGAGGAAAATATTCTAGATGGCTAATACTTAAAAAGCTCCAAAGGCACCTGAATAATGCCTGTGTTGTCTGTTTGACAAAAAGCCCCTGATCAAAATAAAACCCTTCTATGCAAAATTCAAGAATTCAGTATCAAGTCGTAACCTCATGACCAAACCTGACAGCTTGCATTACACACAGTTGCAAGAATCCATCTGGAAACTGAATCCACAACGGGGCTGTCTGACACACTCTCAAAAACTGCCTACTCCGTTACTCTGTGGAGTAACAACTGCAACACAAACAGGACACGGGCACCACTACCTGCCCCAAGGAGGCTGTCACATCAGAGAGGAAATGTTCATGAGGAAGCTGGAGATACTGTGTCCATTTCCAGACAACATCTGCTATTCGTGACTAAGAAGGAAAACAAAATCTGTACTCATTCTTAAATGTCAGGTTGTGTTTACAGGCCTAATATCGAGGAAATTGGACTGGACAGAATGCAGGTGGTGATCTGATCTGATCTGCACCCACTTACTGTAAGAGAAGCTCACTGAGATTCTGTATTGTCATTTAAATACCCTCCATCCTATGTATGCTGTATCCTATTTGAATAAATGGCTTTAGAAATGAAAATACTCTCTTCTCTCCTTGTTTTTTTCCTTTTAGGATGGGGATACTGAATACTTTGTTTATGTGATTTGAAAAATTGACATACAGAACACTAACATATCTTACACATGCATTTATCAAATACTCCATGCTGAGGAAGAAAACAGCAGAGGGGAAAAAAAAGTCAGGAACTGCATTAATCTCTGTAAACACTGAATTCCCATGCTTTGCATCCAAGTTTGCTAGAAAAAAACAAAGTACAATTTGGCATCATTAGTACTGAAAAGTCAGTCTTTCCTTTTTATAATGGGTACATACATTTAAATCCATTCCCACTGAGCACTTCACTCACCATTTCCACGCCACACTTCAGCCAGATGGCAGCTCCCCTCTCCAGGCTCCTTGCAGAACTCCACCACATCGCGACAGGTTGTTTCTGGGGTAATGGGAACTTCTGTCAAAATCTGCTCGTTGTTGCTCAGAAACACAGTCAATATCATCTGCGAGAAAGGAGGAAAAGCAGCAGAGTATTAAAAACAATGACAAGGATAAGATTATGGGTAAGACTGACGATCCCCCTGTAAATCAAAATGTGTGCTTATGCTGGTTACCAGGAGCCATCAAAGGAGTTTTCAGTTTCTTGTAATTTTGCCAAAGCTTTAGTCCTTTGTGTTGATTTTTTTTTGACAGTGCATCGAATTGACAATTTTTAAAAATCCTTCGGTTGAAATGGTTCAGTTCTGTCTGAAAATAAGGTGAGGAAGAAAGGAACAAGTTTCGGCTACGTAAGATGCTTGAAATCACAGCATTTAAATGTTGCAAATAAATACATACTTTGGCAAAATAACCCGAAACTTCCCAGGTGGGCAACATGATGGCAATCATTTTTGCAATTTGTCTGAAGATACAGCTGTATTTGGTGTAATTTTAAGCCTCTGGTTAAATGGTAAGTCTCAGAGTTAAAAAAAAAATAAAAATAGAAGGAAAAAAGCCACAATTTCCGATGTGATTTGCTCAGTATACTTCTAGAGCTGAAACCCTTGAAAAGTCAGGTTTTTGTGTGCTCCCTCAGCCCTGCTCCCCGAGCTTGCTGTGTTATGGGACTGAGCACACAACCTTCCCAGAGGTACCGAGCGCTGTCCTCACTCAAAGGTTCGACTTCAAAAGGCTCCTTCTCCTCCAGTGACTGCTCCCAGCTATTCCAGCTGGAAAGTGGCCACCAAACAGAAAATCCCTTTTCTTCCCCTCCCTCTGCTTGACACATTCAAGGTGACTCAAGGAAAAGAGAAAGGAGAAAAAGTGGGATGAAATCTGTACAGGAAACCGAGCTTGCTGTGTTATGGGACTGAGCACACAACCTTCCCAGAGGTACCGAGCGCTGTCCTCACTCAAAGGTTCGACTTCAAAAGGCTCCTTCTCCTCCAGTGACTGCTCCCAGCTATTCCAGCTGGAAAGTGGCCACCAAACAGAAAATCCCTTTTCTTCCCCTCCCTCTGCTTGACAACATTCAAGGTGACTCAAGGAAGAGAGAAAGGAGAAAAAGTAGGATGAAATCTATACAGGAAAAAGTCTGGCACCGAGAGCTGGTACTGGTCTGGGCCACCGTAAACTTCTGTTCAGATTCCTTGCCCCAGTTTAAATACCTGCACAAATACATATTCACATTTATCCAGAGATACTCTCATCTTTCTCTTCATGTGGTGTAACTTGCTGCAAAGTTAAACACTCAAAAACTGTGTACATTAACTGAACCAACCTCACCCCTTGGTGCATATGTATTACATGTTCATTTGCTGCATTCTCCCTATTAAAGGACCCCACCTTATACAATATTCTCAATGGATTCACACTCTAGGCCCTTGTGTATTTTACTGCAAGAGCTGGAAGTGCACAGTTAACAGCTGAGGGGCTTGTAAGCAGGAAAAGATAAAAAACATTCGACCAAGAAACAAAGTCTAATACCGTGATGTGGAAGCGTTTCTTTTTTGCCCGAGTGAGGTTGGCTGAGGAACAATAAAGGCTGTATTCAAAGACGAGTATTCCCACTAAATCCTGATACCTGACCCTAAGCTCCTGTTTAAAATTAAACAGATACTTTTAACCATTCTCTCTCTGCACCTTAATTTCCCACCCACAGTGACAATATTGCTCTGTAATTTCATGGGGATGGAACAGAGACAACGTGATGTTTAAAAGACAAATAAACCATTATAATAGATGTCCCTACAGAATGTGACAAAAATCAGTAATTTTGTCTGCAAGGAAACTTCTTTCAGATCTTTCCAGTAAATAAAAAGTGGCATCACTGAACCACAAAGATTAAACCCAGTTATTTAAAAGCTCTTCATCAATGAGCACTCTCCACTTGAGCAGAGATGTGCAATTCTTAAACACATCTGTAACACTTTTATCAGTACCAAACCGGAGATCTGCGTCAGTGGCAGCGAGATGTGAGCAGTCAGTGTACTGCAGGAGCAGGCACAGCCCTGCTTCCAGGACAGCCCTTGCTCCCTGCGCTCGGCTCCCAGGCTCTCCTCTCCCTCAGCCTGCCACATCCGTACGCTCTGTCCTGAAGTTTTCAATTAACCACACTTCAACACCAGGAGCAACCACCTGGGGCTGCAAGACACTAGAATTCACCTGTCTCTCTCTCTAACAGCAGCATTAAAAGAAGCTATGGTAAAAGCTATGGTAAAAGCTATAGGATGCAGCCACAGATAATAATGAAGTGCATGTAACCACGCACTGTAAACAGCCCATAATGTTATTTTCCCCCGTGGAAGATGCAGACATAGTCTCAATATTCATAGAATCACAGCGTGGTTTTGGTTGGAAAAGACCTTTAAGGTCATCGAGTCCAACCATCAATCCAGCCCTAAGTCCGTCACCAGACCATGTCCCTAAGCACGACATCTCCTTATCTTTTAAACCCCTCCAGGGACGGTGACTCCACCACCTCCCTGGGCAGCCCCATCCAGTGCTTGACAACCCTTTCAGTACAGAAACTCCTCTTAATATCCAGCCTAAACCTCCCCTGGCACAACTTGAGGCCATTAAAGTGGCCATTCAGTGGCTGTGGCATCTTTTACACAACAAATACCTGATGTGAGATCTAGTAGTGGAATTTGACCTCGTATTAAAGGAGAAAGAATCCCATATGCACATAAACCAACAGGCTTAGGAGAAGCCTTCAGAGGTCAGCAAATGCAGTCTCTAGGCCTCAGGCAGGATCAGCCATACCCGCGTTACTCTGGAGTGACGCTTGCTCAACCTGTTCTGGAAAGCCTTTCATGATGGGATTTCCACCTCCCCTGAACCATCCATCGAGACATCCAGCATCCCTGCTGCAAGGAGTCTCAAAGTCTGGTCAAGGTTTTCCTTGCCACTATTTGAACCCACCAGTTCTCTCAGCCACAGGGAGACAGAAAACATTTATGTGTTTAAATTTAAGGAATTAATAAGTAGGTTAAACAACACCAGTTTGACAGAGAATTATTAATGTCAGTATTCTAAATATCAGCTTCCTTGCAACACTTGATAGTGATTTCAGAATAAAACCCAAGTTTCCCAAACTTTTTGAGAATGCCAAGAGACCCTGGCTTTACTGAAGCCATGATATGATGCATACTGTGCCTCTTTATCGTTTGTCTGAAAGACCTCTTCTCTTTTTATGAAAGGATAAATAGAATGGCTTAAATCATGTGGCTTTACAAGGTTTCCAAGTTTCGATTCTTTATTGCTGTAAAGATAACACTGTCCCAGGAAACTTGTTTTGTGTATTCAAGATTAGCTGTCTGCACCTGCACACAGGCTGAGAAAGAAGGAAAAGCCTTGAGGTGTGAGTTACCCACACATCTCGGTCGATTCTCCATCAGTTCAGACCTCAACCACCATATAAACTCACAGTCCCGTCTGCAAGACCAGGCCAAAATTTGCTGTATCTCAAGCACACTCCTTTCTGCTCTCAGCTCCAACTGCACTACCACTGCTCAG